TTGTCCTAAATAAGATAAGCACTTGAAAATTTTATACACAAGGTAATACTGATCTTATTAATGTCTCATGAATCCCAAATAAATACCATGCTCTGGAAACTGAATTTATTATACTGCTTCATACATTTTTCTAGAATACCCCTTTTCACATTCATTTATGTTTTTTCAGTTTTTCTACTGTCTTTTTATCTAACTGGAAATTTTCCTTTTCTGTCTTCTTTTTTATTCTCATTTATACAAGTATAATTTTCTTTGTGAAACCATTGACACCAGAACACTTTTTAATATTTTATTGAACTTATTCTTTAAAGCTAACTTTTGGATAGATATTAACCCTGTGTTAGTGCTAAGTTGACCAGTATTTGGAGGATGTTTTGGATTTCACTCTTTTCATTGTTAAGTATTTAGTATCATAGAAGTTTCTCAATAGATATTAGATAATTTACATGCATATATAAGGAATAAAATACTGGAATTTAGTAGAGAATTCACAGTCTGTATGAACTCTTTTCTTGTAGGCCCCTGCTTGTGGAGTTCTCCCACTTCTCTCACAACCTCTCATCCTGAGTAGCTCAGCTGATGTGGACAGGAATTGATATATGTCCCAAGAACATTACATGAGAAAGATACCATGTATCTTCAACATCCTTTATGGAGAAGTGAACTTTTCCCTCAGAACAGTTCAGCAGCAATTTTGGGAGTTTTGGGGCTTCATTTTCCCTTGTTCTGTGTGTGCCTGTGTCTGAAAGATGTTTTAACCTTCACAGACCAAAGAGTTGTATGTAAATAATGAAATAGTACTGATGACTCTGTACCTGTGTCTACACTCATGTCCTTATTCTGTTTTATTTGTTAGTACAAACGTAACCAGGCTAAGAACTAAATGTTATTTGTTAATGCATAATGATAATGCCGATTACCTAACTATTGTTAACGCATTTATTAAGCGTGTGCAGAAGTTAACCGGTTTGCTTAACCAAGTTCCTAGGCTCCTGCATGAACTCTGTCATGACTTAGTGCCTAAAAAAGTCTCTGAAATGGCAGTATCAATTAGTCTTTCTCTGACAGGTCAACACACATAGGCTATGTCTGCATTAGCAAGCAATGTGGTGGAATATGTGTAGACCCACAGAGTAAAACATTTGATGTTGAAGACCTGATGCCCCTACTGCACATTTTGGGTATTTATTTTGGAACAGCTCTGGTCCCAGGAACTGAATATCTATTAGCAACTAGACCACATTAGGTATCCCTCTGGAGTGTGTTTTCTTGTTTCATTTCCAAAAGAACTTAATTTCTGTGATACGAAACAAAGAATAATAAGCAGGGGAAATTTGGAGATTTGCTTCAAAATAATCTTGATAGGAACTATAACTCAAAGGTAGACGTATGCACACCAGGCAGCAGTAAATTCAGTCCACAGCAGCCGCATTGGCTGTCAATGCAAAACAAAGTCAGATGAAATACTGCTGTGTGACTCTTGGTAAAAATGTTTTCCTGGGAAGAGTAACAACTTGATTCTACAACCATATCATTTGTTACCATCTTCCAAGAAAGCCCTTTGGCACTTAAAAGACTAGTTTTGTGCACTACAAAATAGTCTCCTGCCTTTTTTTTTCTGTGATGAATAATTATAGAGGTGCAAATATAAAAATAATAGGACCAAAATGAGAGCAGGAGATCAGTTATACTAATCTATAGTCCCAGCAGTTAAGGCACAGCTAGCAGGAAAGGTTTTGAGTCCTCTTTCCAGGTGTATCTCTCTTTTCCAGTCAGACTATGTCTCTGAGGTCCACAGGTGAAAGGTGTTCAAAATATAATTGTGTAGAGTACATGTGACTTTGTGTGTGTAATAAATGTTTTGGAAGTTAGATGACTGCCATTAGGTGTGTAATATCTGTACCTGGTACTCAGATGTGTACCTTTTTGTAAGCTGAATATCAGATCACCATCATAGATGGAAAATGAAATCTCCTACTTCTAATCTCTATCTGAATTGTGTTAATGTTGGAGAAAATTTACAGAGATATTATCTTCCTAGAAGTTTGGAATCAAACTTAATCTTAAAATATGGAAAAAAAAAAAAAAAAAAAAGAAGATGGAAAGTGGTTTGCACACCTCTCAGAAATATTTTCCCACTCACTCTGGAGTAATCTGTCACTTCAGTGTCATAAAGAATTTTTTTTTTTTTCATTAGCCTGAACCATTTTTCTTCTGTTTTTAAGATCCACTACCACAGGAGATAGGAGGTTCAGTAACAAGGACTGTCGTGGTTTGAACTTGAAGAGCAACTGAGCACCACACAGCCACTCACTTCTCCCTTCTCCCTTGGTGATGAGAAGGGAAAAAATAAGCCAGGCTTGGGATTTGAGATAGGACTGGGGCGGGGAGATCACCCACTATGGTCACAGGCAAAAGGCAGACTAGTTAGGGGAAGAAAAAAAAGAACATAGATTTATTACAGACACTAACAACAACAGTTAACAGAGTAGGAGAGTGAGAAGCATTTCCACATCTTGAGAACACCTTCCCCCCACCCCTCCTTTCTTCCTGGGACCAGCTTTGCTCCCAATATCTCTACCTCTTCCCCCTAGTGTCATAGGGGGCAGGGAATGGGGGATCTAGTCAGTGCTGCTATTTCTTCTATCTTGGGCAGGAGGAACTTCTGGAACTTCTTCCCCCTGCTCCAGCATGGTCGCCCACTCACAGGAGACAGTCCTCCATGAACTTTCTCCAACTTGAGTCCCTCCCATGGGCCGCAGCTTTTCCCTACACTGCTCCAGTGTCAGACACCAACTTTCTCCAACTGGAGTTGCTCCCATGGGCTGCAGCCCTTCCCGAGGTGCTCTGGCATGGGACAACACCACATGCTGCAATCCTCCCAGCACCAAACTACAGCAGCGGGGGCTGCTTCCTCCCACAGGATCCTGGCCTCCTCTGGGCACAGTCACCTCTGTCATCTATGTGAAGCCCCTCACAGACAATAAGTCAATATCTGCTCCACCATAGACCTTCATGGGTGGCGGGGGGGCTGCCCTGCCGTCTCACCACAGGATACAGGGGTGTGTCTGCTCCAGCACACCTCCCACCTCCTTTCTTCCTCCATTCTTCCACTGAGCTTGGTGTTCATACAGCAACCTTAACTCCTCCTCACAAGTCTGACTCCTTCTTACCAGGTCCTTTCTTAAACATGTTATCGCAAAGGTGCAGCTGATTGGCACGGCCTTGGGGCAGAGATGGGGCTGGCTTGGAGCTGGGGGAGCCTTGAGAAGCTTCTCACAGGGGGCTACCCCTGTAGCCACCTCCACTGCTACTAAAAAAAATAACCCACCACTCAAACCCAGGACATTAGCTCACTGTCTTCCCATTGTATTGTTCATTCTTTTGTTATCATAATGTCTCAATTACCTTATGATTCAGGATTCAGCCATACACCATAAATATAATACAGGTTCAATTATCTGCAAAAAGAAATCTGGCAACAAATAACTGTATATGCTATTTTATGAGCAGTACAGATATTTTTATTTTACTATTTATCATACTAACATATAGAAGAAGGCAAAAGAGTAAAAAATGTTCCTACTATTAGTAAATTTTATTTCATTTTACATCTTATTTTCAAGTTTGAGAGCAAGATGAATCTGCATTAATATTAATTGCTAATGCCTCACAAAATAGATGATACATAGTATTATTTAGGATTCAAGAATATCTGCATTTCTCTGTAGTATAAAGTTTTCAACATTATTTTGAAAACTCACTTCTTCCATGGAATGGAATTGATACGCTCAGTAACTGAGAGACTGGTTTTGAGAGTATATTCATTCTAATTTGGAAGTATAATTACAAATGCTGCTAGGAAGGTCATATTTCAAAAATAATGATGTTAAATCTCTCCTGGAGGAAAGGTCTTATGGTCTGAGAATCTCTTTCCTTCTACTTAACTGATTGGTAATTCCTTACCATCATTATGAACACATGAGCATAGCCTGGTAGCAAGATAAAATATTCAAGGCTTTTGGAATCAACAGTTTTCTGTTACTTTCCTTCTGATCTAAAACATAAAGTTGATGAATGTCAATTTTTTAACTTTGAAAAATTTAAGCAAGCAAAAAGCAGACACAATTCCTTAAGCTTAGTGACCTGATATTATAAAATGTCTTAAGATGAAAATTAAACAATAGTCTTCCTCTTTGTTCAGAACACTCTTTAGTGGAAGGACAATATAAATCTAGATGTAAAATATTTTTCCTTTAATTTTAGTTTTAACTTTCACAATATTTTTCAATACCCTCACTGGACCAAAAAAGTACTGATGAGATTGTTACAAAGTTATTATCTTCATACAGAACTCAGCTGTCAAGGTTTTATTGAGAGGAAAACTAGAAAACCTTTAAAATTTCTTCATTTCAGATTGAGAAGGGATAAAAATGAGTCATCATCTGTCTAACTTTTGAGACTATTTTGATCAAAATTGTACCCCAGTTGAAATAATGTGCGTTATCTCAACCTTTTTTTTTTTTCACAAATGTGATGATAATAAACTGCAAAGAGATATACCTTGTAAAATGTTAAATACCTTTTACTCAATCTAAGAATCCAAGATATTTTTAGATACCACAGTATTCAAAAAAATATAGTAACATATGAATATATTTAATTATTTATTGTGGTATAACTATGGAAAAGAAAAGAACATTTAAGACTTTAAAATTCAGAAGGAGGTCTGATTTTTTAAAGAGAGGTTTCTAGAGCAGTGAGCTTCACAGGCAGTAACCTTTCTTAATATAGTCAAAATGTGAATCTGTTTTCCTATGAGTTCAGGAATGTTGAAGTTGTCTTTGTAGTCATTAGTAATGTAGGTTAATATAATTTGAATGAAGGCTTATATACTCTTATCTCTCTAAGTCCTTCCTTTTTCATTCCAGAAGCATCAGAAAGGTACAAACATTTTTTTGTAAAGAAAGATGACAGAAGTATTGATTTTTTATTTCCAGAACACTGAGAAAAATGGTGATCAATCAAGAGAACTTGAAGTTGGGTGTTGAAAGACATGGAGCTGCTCCCAGTTCCCCAGAGAGATTAACAGAAGGAATAACATGCTGATTAAACAGGTAACTGTAGCCTTTGTGCAAAGCTCAGGGAAAACAATGAGAGATTTTTATTTATCTTTCTGTGATTTATATCAGGTTCTGTATTTCTTGCCTCCTATGTTCAATTTCCTTTACAAGCCTGGAACAGGAGGGGTTTCTAAAATTTACAATATAAACTCCTGTTCTTGCCCTTTTTGATGACATAGTTTATATATTTTCTGACTCTTCCCCAGTGTTCAAATATCATAGCTCCTCAGGGCTTACACAGAAGGTGCAACAATGAAAGCTTTTTGTAAGTAACCCGTGAGATCTTCAGAGCAAACAGTTTTTCTCAACTCTGCCTGCAAAGCATAAAGCACACTTTCCACAGTATAAAAATAAATCTTCCCACTCACCATCATCTCTGGTAGGCACCTGGACAAATTTCATATTAAGTAATTGCTTTTGGCTTGCTCCTTTGAAGTTCTGAGCACCTTTCAGTTCATGTTAAACTTAGGGGAGGGAGGGAGGGACGTTTCTCAACTGGCTACAAACAGCCAGCATCATTGGAAAATGAGTGCTTTCCAATAACATTATATTTATAGGAAAAAAAACCCCTTCTTTACATTTAAAATATTAGTGGCATTTGTGGAATTTAAATATGCATTTTAATCAGTGTTCTGTTTTTATTTGACAACCAGTTCTAGATTAGTCAAGTAGTATCCTCTTATATTACAGTTTTGTTTCTTCCCTTCTGGACATACAAAAGTTGATTGAATTCATAGTGTAATGTTGTGAACGCCTCCATTACAGACTAGTCTTTTTGAATAAATTAAGGCTTGATTAGAAACAAAATTCTTAGAGACTGGCCAAATACTGATGTTAATGTAGCTGAATTTTAATAGGGGTTAATATAGGCTTTGTATAACATTAACATTTCAGCTTAGAAAATGCTTTGACATTACTCATGACATTGTGAAATCATTATCAGTGTACGTGTTAAGTGTTAAATCAAAAGAATATGAAGCAACAAAACCAATAACTTTTTACTCACAAGATACACATCACATCAGCTCTATAACCTGTGGATGATACAGCAAATAGAAATCCTTTCATTTTCTATCTCTTAAAAACAAGTACAGAAAATATAAAAATAAGATTTCAAATACATATTAAAGATATATAGATATATAAATAAATAAATATTGAAGTTGAATGCTTTTAAAATAAGATTTTAAACCAGCTGATTTTTATTCACACATGTATTAAAGACATCCCACAAATCTGCAATGGTTTCCTTGTAAGGACCACTTTTTCAGATTTATCTGTGGATCTGGTTCCCAGTCTAAACATCCACAATTACCTAATTTCTCTTAATGTTGTAAGTAACTTCTAATGATTAAAGGACATCTTTGAATTTATGATAAGAACTAAATAGTTTTTGAACACCTAGATATAATTATGAAATATCCTATATGTGTCAAAAAATCCCCCACCTCTGCAGTTGAAAACTTTGAGAGAGATTGATATCTGGAAGAATATCTTCTGTCTGAGGGTATTTGAGATCCACACAGTAGAGGTCCTCCTTCTAGGTCGTTGAAGTATGTTTGTGCTCAGAAAAAAACATTGAGAAATACAGCAGTTGATAGTAACTATGTTTTTTCTAATAGTCTTGATAGGATTAAAATCTACATATTTTCATTCCCTGAGTAGTCTCATCAACAGGGAATATTTGATGAGAGTCCTTTTGCTAGAAGGGGACTGCTATGATTCCAGGAATGTAAAAGAGCTGTTTGTCCAAAATAATTGACCAAAATCATGACAGTGTGGAAGGTATGTATCCAAAGGACTTTGATGAGCGAGCTTAGATTCCCATTCTGTGCTTAATTTTTCATCCGTTTGCTAATGTGTTAAAAAAATAAATTAAAAAAACCCATAACAATCCTGCACAATTATTTCACCATCTCTTTTAATTGGGTATAAGTGTTTTGCTTGGCTGCCAGGTATGACCCAATTCTAATTTAGAGATCTGCCATCTGACATAGAAATAATTTTAGGAATAGAGTGATGTTCCCTTTCATTTTACCTTGTTCACTGAATCACACTGGGGAAGAACTACAAATGTCACCTACCTGGGCTTCTCAAAGGCCTTTGACACAGTCCTCCACAACTTTCTTACCTCTAAATTGGAGACATATGGCTTTGATGGATGGACTGTTAGAATGATAAAGGATTGGCTGGATGGCCGTGTCTAAAGAGCTACAGTCAATGGCTCAATACCAAAGTGGAAACCAGTAACGAGTGGTATTCTTTGAGGGTCTGTACTGGGAGCAGTACTATTTTATATCTTCATCAATGACATACCTAATGGGATTGAGTGTGCCCTCAGAAAGTCTGCAGATGATACCAAACTGAGTGGTGCATTTGGTCTGCTTGAGGGAAACGATGCCATCCAGAGGGACCTTGAGAGTCTTGAGTGGGCCCATGAGCGCATGAGGTTCAACAAGGCCAAGTGCAAGGCCTTGCACCTGGGTCAGGGCAGCTGCTAGTTGATCCCTCAATAGAGGCTGGGGGGGATGAAGGGATTTGGAGCAGCCCTGCAGAAAAGGACCTGGGGATACTCTAGATGAAAAGCTGGACGTGAGCCGGCAATGTGTGTTTACAGACCAGAAATCCAACCATATCCTGGGCTGCATAAAAAGTGTGGCCAGCAGGTTGAGGGAAGTGATTGTGTCCTACCCTGCTCTCGTGAAATCCCACCTGCAGTACTGTGTCCAGCTCTGAGGCCCCTGATAGAAGAAAGACATGGACCTGCTGGAGTGATTCCAGAGGAGGGACACAAAAATGATCAGAGAGGAGGAACACCTCTTCTAAAAGGACAGGCTGAAAGAGTTGGGGTTTTTCAGCCTGGAGAAGAGAAGGCTCTGGGCAGACCATATTGTAGCCTTCCAAGATCTGTAAGGGGCTTATAAGAAAGACAGAGAGGCTTTTTACCAAGTCCTGTAGTAATGGGACAAGTGGCAATGGTTTTAAATTGAAAGAAGGTAGATTTAGATTGGATACAATGAAGAAATTTTTTACAATGACGGTGGTGAGACCCTGGAACAGGTTGGTCAGAGAAGTTGTGGATGCCCCATTGAGGGTGTTCAGGCTGGATAGCGCTTTAAGCAACCTGATCTAGAGAAAGGTGTCCCTGCCCATGCCAGGGGAGTTGGACTAGATGATCTTTAAAGTCCTTCCCAACCTAAACCATTCTATCATTCTATGATTCTATGATTTATCTAAGATAAACAACATATCACAAATACTGTTTCTCATAGACTTGTTCATATGTAGACTATATGAAGATTTGTGTCGTCTCTTTTGCAATCAAAATGTTCTCTGATGAATCTTAATATGTTTGTGTGAGTCAGAGGATATAGAGTAGAAAAGAGTAGCAGTTAAGGGAAAGCCAGGATTAATTATGATACAAGTGTACTAGATACATGTTTTGGAGTCAACTGAGTGAGTGGAAAGAAGCAAGAAAAGTGATTGATATTGCTTCTAACTGTGCATTCAGAGGAGTCTGAAGACCATATCACTATTAATTTGCTACTAAATATACCACAACTTCTAGACTTGTCAGAGTAGCAAATTTTATATTCTTGTTTTGCATAAGTGATCACTCCTTTTCCAAGTACAATTATATATATACATTTTTTTAATCTCTGTATGAAGTCTCAGGCAGGATCAAAGTTCTGAAGTATAACGTTTCATAGCATGGTTCAGTATCCTGTGTAGTGCTACTAGAATTCAGATTATTAATTAATTATTAATTAACTGTTCTTTTATACTATCCTTAATTAGTCCTGATAAATTGTTTGGTCATCATTTGCTCCTGAAATTTTAGTCACAGCAGGAAAAGGGGGAGGTGTTTCCTTTTCAAATACATTTCAAAGGTCAAATACTTATGCAGTTAATATGTTTGAGGATGACAGTTCCTTTGTGTGGTCTCTTCTTTCTCACTGAAGCCGATCAAGGGGTCATGAATTATCTGTGGCAGTTCTTGGCTGCTGAGTTAAAAAACAGGTGTCCCAAGACTTTAGATGCTGGTTTGTATTTTCCCACAAAAATAGAAAGTATTTTTTTTCATAGTGAGCATCTGGTTCTTCATCAAGAATCCTTCTAGTAACTCTGCCCTCAAATCAATAATTAGTATATAACATTTTGGGAAATTGGTATACAACCATTCTTTTGATTTAATTATTTGGAATGGTATGATATGATAAACAAGGAGAGAGAATTAGCAAGTGAAAGATAAATAAAATTATCTTAAATGATTCGCATCTTAAATGATTTAGATTTGGATTAAAGTAATCAATACATATGGCAGTTATCTTTCTTATTATATGTAAGTGCAACTGTCATGCATTTTAGGACTGTAATGGACAGATTATAGGCATTAGAATGCTACCACAAGTATCAGTTTCTGTCTATTAACCCAACACTATCCTAAGATTTAAAATTAATTTTCCTGAAAAAAAATCTATTATGAAGTCATATCTCATATGAACAAACATATATAATATTGTAAAGCAATCTATTGGTCCATAATATCCACTTAGAAAAGAGTGTGATTGTTGAGTGTAAAGGAAAATATAGCTTCTTTTCCATGAGATTGGATCAACAAAATGGGATTGTACAGCTGAAAAATGTTGCTAAATTTGAAATTTAGAGATGTCATGACAAAATCTGAGATCTCCAGAGGGATGGAAGGAAGAAATGAATGTGGCACTGCAAAACAGAAATCCTTCATTCTAACTGCATATTTTGTGATCAATTTTAATAAAGTATTTATTTTTTGCAAATTAGCTTCTCTTTTAATTAAACAAGGAAGATGCAAAATGATTAAAACTCAAGTATTACGCCTCATTGTCTCAAAGAAACTATGAATCCAGCACTGATGAAACTCCACACTGATGAAGAAAAGCAAATCACTGGCTCCTCTGAGTTCCTCATTGCAAATACCTGCTGAATTTAAAGGTGATTTTGGGACATAGAGGACAGAGACAACAAGATCACTTAGATTACAAGCAGCCTCTGATATCAAGGAAGTGAATTTGAAAAAACCCCAGTTACAACATATTCTGAGGCATAGGTCTGTGTATAAAGATACTTAAATAAACATACATACAAAGACATGAACACACTTATATAAACATATGTGTTCAACTTTCCATCATTTCTCTAGCAATTCTAATGAAGAAGGTAATGGAGGGAAGTGGGAGTATGCCACTGCGGTCGTGTTGGCTCAATGTCTGCTGTTTTACAAAAAGATAAGGCTGGGCTATTCGTGCGAAGCAGCATCCCTGGCTCTTACTGATTTGTGATCAACTAATTGATAGTATCTTACCTTGCAGAACTCCTGCTGAGCTCTTGACTGTGGGAATACTGCTGCCTTTCACACGACAGGCTGTCAGTCTGTGCAAAATAGGAACTTTATAGAAACCACTAGATGGGAGCAGGTGCCTTGTTAGATGTAGACAATCATCTGTTCTTGGAAGAGGAATGGCTTCCCACTCTTGCTGAATTCTTGCAGATTCTGTGAAGCAGACTGCCTTTCTCTTTGTGAGGCAAAAGCTGTGTGCTGTCATAAAACAAAATAAAGAAAAAATATAGAAATTGTCATTGAGAATCCGAATCTTTGTTTGAAAATTCAGTGGAGTGACATACCACCCTGCTTTATCTCCTATGCTGAATTCTTTCAGATTTTCCTTGGCTTCCATACCTAATTTCAAATATCTTTCCATATGTTTAAATACCATATAGAAGTATGCTTCTTCACTTTTCTCTTAACATACTTGTGATGTCCTCTAATATTCTGTAGATTCCATCTGGCTACAAACAAGCTATGCCTTTAGTGTCTTCTATTTGCTGATGTTAGTACATCATTCCCTGAGCAATAAGTAGGCATTCAATGGCATCAGCCTCTCCCCTGAAGCTTCTTAAAACTAGAAGCATGCTCCACAGCCTCTGGAGAAACCTTATGGCCCACAAAAAAAAAAAAAAAATAAAAAAAAAAAAAAAATATATATATATATTGCTAGGCTTTATGTCTCTTCAGAGACAGCAGAAAAAAAAAAAAAAAAAGAAGTGCAAATAGTATCATCTGCTTTCATCCAGAACAGTTTGGAAGAATTGAAGGTAGGAAGCATCAGTGCTCAGCTTTTTTAATAGTTTGAAAGGGTTATGCCTTTCCTACTATAAAAACTACACATGTAAATAGGGGACTCTTAAATTTGATGAACAACCAATGGAAAATACTGCAGAGATTTTGCCTGAGGCTCTCATCCAATGTTAAGACAGTATTTATTTCTAAATTAAAGGGAAGGACTTAATCTGGGAAGCTTTAAAAGAGCTGAATTCAGTACTTCAAGCTGATTTTTTTCCCAGTTGTGAGTTTTTAACTTGGAAATAAACAAGGCCTTATTTGAAAGCAGAGTGGTTTTTAGTGGTGTTTTGTCCATCTGTAACTGGTAAAACAAAATGTTGTAGCACTGGGTAAAATATGTCAGTAGTCCAAGCCAGCATGGCAAGCAGCCAGCCTGCTTTTCAATTCTGCTTCACTTAAAACATTTCTTATTTTAAGTTTTATGAACTAAGCATATCTGCAGAGATGTGTTAACTAATTTGGTTACTAAAAAGCTTAAGAATGTGGAACTAATGTGAAATGAGTAAAACATTAACATTTATTCATAGTGCTTTCAACTGCATCTCATTCTCCATTGTTGATCTCTAAAATGTCAATCTAGATTAAAAATATTTGAGATGAAGACAGTGAATCTGATTCTTAAATCTGCTGTTGTGGTGCAACAAAATACCCAAAGGATCTTTCTTTTCAGGATAACTTATTCACTATAGCTTTTAACGAAGAGGAGAGGGACAAATGATGGCTTTGACTTCATTGCATGTGCCTTTTTAGTGGATACTGCAGTAGTCTTTGGGGATTTTTGCAAATGGGTTTTCAGTAGGTGAACTGGATGTCCCTAGATTGGAAGGCCACTAAGACAATTTTCTTTTTTCTCAGTACACTCTAAGGTGAACATAATCACCTGAGCCTTCTTCCAATTTCTCTTTGTCTAATATCTGGTATATAATGAACCCCGCATATGCAAACATGTAATTAAAAGAGTCATCCTACCCTGACAGTATTAGGGAAGCTTAACTTTGCCTGGGAACACGAGAGAGGAAGGAAAGATATTATGTCAAAAACTGAGTCATTCTTGGCCACTTGGATTTCAGTTTTTTTTAGACCATATATGTGTCCAAGTTCAAAAATAATCTAGTAAGACTTTACGACTGTCCATAACCTTGAGACTCCATTGGCAGGTGCTTTCAGCAGAAGGTGCAGTCATAGCCATTAGCCACTACTTCAAAGAATTTTTCTTGCCAGGCCACATCATATCTTTTTAACAGGATTTAGACTAAACCAGCCAGCTTTCCCTCAGGACTCTGTCTATGCCAGACACAGAATTACTAGAGAATCAGCTCTGTTTGTTTTTGATGTGAAAACCAGAACTGAACATTACTGGAGTACTGATGACAGTGGAGCACATCTCACCTCACACCTCTTTTTTACAGGTTTGTGTGGCAAGTGACAAGACTGAACTCTGTGCAATACAACTAGTATTAATCTTAAGAATGGAGGAACAATGAATGAATGTTCTCTGATTCCAATAACTTTGATTCCATAAGAAAAGGGATGAACGAAGTCACCCTATTCTAACGCCATAAAGCTGTGTCAAATCTGTAATTTCACTTTGTGTAAGTCATGATCAAAAACATGAATACTGTTCTTGCACTTAATATTAGTGGAGATGTAATTTCTGGTTATTGTGTGAACACATTACCGACCAGAGTTAGTTACGTATTTTCCATAGCCAAGTCTGAAGCATTTTCTTAGTCTCTACTGTTGCAGCTAGCGTGTAAACACATATTAAGGACCTTCCCCAATTATGAATTAATAAATAAATTAAGAAGAAATTGTAAATTTGCAGATTAGGAAATATTATTAGTCTCAAAGAGTAGTTTTCAAGCATTCAAATGTAAATTTGAAATATTTTTGATATTTCTTAATTGTCTTTTGAATAAGTTTGATAATTAATAGTGGCTTACAGAAATTAAATGAGTGCCTCATAAGATCTCGGATTGGCTGATATTCAAGCCTATTTCCTCAAAATTACTTCTAACAAACTTTATTTCCTACCCTTGAAATATATTTGCCATGTTCTATCATCAAACACATGGACTATCATAAAATATGGATGTGGTTCATTCAGAAAATAGAAAAATTCTAATTCTGGTGTTAATACAAAGTCTGGGCACTACTTGCTGGATTTAACTAGTCATGAAAAGCATAGATTAAGTTAGTAGACATACTCCAGGGAATCTCAAGTCTCTGGTTGCGTTATTGAGTGAAGGTGAAATTGGGACAGCAGTGCATTAGCACTTTCATGTTCTTATAAAGCTTTGTGACCACTGATATATCATGTCAAGTCTGGTGGATTTCTTTTTTGTGTGCATCAAAAGACATTTACACATTCTCTTTATTTAGCTGTAGTGTCTAAAATAATATGCAATTTAATTATTTAGTTGTCTTTCAGAATGTAGTTATTTTTCAGTGTACAAAATCACACTTTTAATAACTAATTTCCATGTATTTTTAATATTTTATATAATGCTAACTATCTTGAAAGCAGGGTTTTTCATGTTAAACAAGAACTCAACTTTCAATTCTTTCTCTAAAAGATTGTGTTTCACTTAAAAATACTGCATTTCATTAAAAAAATCAGCAGCTTCCTTTACTGTTTTAGTCTATGTTTCAGAAGCATTTTTATCCAGTCATAACTAATGTGTATTCACACCTGCAATGCTGGGAGTTGAAGTGCTGTCAGCTTTTGTTGGGGCTGCCCTCCTTTATCCATTACATTACCTCAGGGGAAGGTTGCACTTCTCAGGCAACCTAAATTTCAAGCAAACTTCTGTCAGACAACTTTTTTGGTAAAACCAGTGTGACTAAGCACTGGGCAGAAGACATACTGGTCTTGTCATCTTTTGTCCATGTTTAGAGCAAATGCTGAGAATCCTGACAACTGCAAGCAATGCTGTCAACAATGTTGTATCCAGAATATAAAGAAAATATTTATTAATTTATTTCTCTTCAGCTGCATCTCCTGGGTGCTGGATAAACTGGCTGACAGTTTGTTTTTGCAAACTCCGTACCTGTAGTAGCCAGACATAATCCCCCTCTTCTTTCCTTCTTTCATCTCCCACCATTGCTGGTGAGCTAGGCAGAGAAACAAATGTTAGAATCTTTAAAGTTTGTTCTTTTAGAGGTCTTAGTTTACCTGAAAATGCTTACTTTTGAAGATGTCATTTCACCTTGTTTTTAAAGTAGGAATGATAAAACAATAAAATCCTTTTGAAGTGAAAATATCAAAAATTGAAGCTTCTTTTGTTTAACCCACTTTTTAGAAAACATTTCAAGAGACAAAATGGCTTAAAAGCAGACATTTTGTCAGGAGCCATGAGCTTTAGAAAAGCTGAACACCAGCTCTCTAGCACATTTCTAATTAAATATGCAATTAAAAAGCTTTCAGTGGCCCCTAAGGCTTCTCAGCCTAGTTAATAGAAAACTTCTCATTTTTAACAAGCAAGATAAAACTTTTTTTAAAAAATTATCCACTGTTAAATAAAATGCCTTCTTATTTTGTTTCCTCACTGTGCTTCAAGGATTTATTGTATGCTGAATCAAGCAGCTCGGGATTTTAGAAGCAAAACCAATAAAGGTAATAAACATTAAGTAAGTTTTTCAAAAAGTTAAGTAATACAGACTATATTTTAGGTATTTTTGTGGGGATGAAGTAACATGCAAGTTATGTGAAAGAGTACCATGTATTAAGTAATTATTTGGTTATTTAAAAGTATTTAAAGACTTGCAAATTAGTATAAGAATTCAGATTAGCTCTTTTTCAGAGAAAGTGTTTTTATCTCAGTTGGACCATCAATGTTGTTCCATCTCCTTCTTGATGGATATGACATAGATAGAATTTTGATTGTAGTAAAATATATTATAGGATTCTGTCCTTTCAGTTACTCATCGTCCAAAAGATCTATTTTTTTTTTTTTTTTTTTTTTTGAGTGGGAGCAGCTTCAGTCTTGGGATTGAAGCATGGATGAAAGATATACATGAAAGTGGCATGTGGACACCAGCGATGGATGAGGGTAGTCAGAATAGAAGGAAGGAATGGATGCAGTCCTGGTTTCAATAGGGAGGTCAAAATGGAACAGTGTACGAAGTAACACTGGAGAGCAAATGAAACATAAATGAGGCTAAGGAAAGTGTCCAGGGGTATACTGAAAGCACCTTGCGCTGCAAAGAGGCAGTTAATTTTAATCCATGCTGTAAAAATTCTTACACAATATGGCTGCTTTTGAATTGTGGTGGCTGGAATATTTCTCACACTAGTATTAATCCAAATAATCAAGACATTTAAGTTTGCTCCAAGTCATACATTTCTTGTATTAATTTCCTGTCTTCATTGTTAATACATCTTTTTCACATGCAAATCCTTATTTTTTCTTAAAAACAGTAGGCATCAGCTCAACCCACCATATGTTGGTGGGACATGCAGTGGTGAGACAGAATACACATAGTTTCTAATTCTTCACCTCATATGAAAATGACTCTTTAGGTCCTGTAATAAATGTTTTGTGCTATAGTCAGATTTCTGTCACAAAAGATTTTGTGCCAAAGGTTACTGGAATGTTATAGTGTTATAGTATTTTTTTTTTTTTAACATAATAGATTTTTAATTAATAAAGAAAAAAGAGCCTCACTGACACGTTTGTTTAGCACAGTAAATATTTGAAGGTGTTCTTCCGTTAAAAAACACAGTCACTTTTGGAATGTGAATAATCTACCAACTGTGTAGAAAACTTTCTATAGTGTTTCAAACCTTAACAGAATAGGTTGCACAGGAAACAGATATATTTGTCATTTATATCTCCCCACAACTATAATTTGCAAAGATTCTTTTTAGTGTTTTACATTTACTAGGAGAATTTTTTTGATAAGTGATTCATGTCTTCACATGGCTACTTAATTTCAATATCTGAATGTGATGTAGACATATGTGATAAAGTAATAATTTATTAATACTAAACAGCAGTAACAGAAATATCTATTTTAAAGATAAGTGCACATTTTCAATCAGACATGACTCAAAAGGGAACTGCATGTACACATTCAAGTAAATCCAACATAAGCAATTTGTGATGCCCTTAAAAATTATGACATGCCAAGTAAGGGATTTGAAAGATCTATTCCTACCATCTTTTGGAAATACAAATATGTGCAGCACATTGTGGCCCATGATCAACGGGGCCTTGTCCAAAAGTAATCCTTCTCCTTTATGACTGCTCTTCTTTAAAAAATCTTTGGGTTTCTTTGGCTTTGCACTTATAAAAACCTCTCTGTAACCCAATGGACCAGCTGCCTGTGATCAGTCTTTTGCAATGGTTAGAGATATAGACACTGTTTCTCCCATTTTCAACTTATTTGCAGTTGTGTTCAGCAGCAAAATACACCAGAAAATCATAAATCGTTCTATGTTCTCACATATAAATGTGTATAAATATGTATATTTATATACACACTTATGTTGTGATGAGGGCAGAGTCTGTGTCATTCAGTGGGTATCACACAGACAGGAACACGTGCATTACACTTGCTTCCTTTGTTAACTGATCTATTCTGGGTTTCCCAGGGAGAATAAATAAGTTGGAGTTAAATGAAAGGTTTTGTCTATCCAGCACTTTGAATTCCTTAACTAAAGAAGTAAACTCTTGAGACTGTATTTCTGTACTGAATATTCATGTTACTGAGTAAAAAAATCTATGTTTTAGCAGTATTTTCTAATATTTCCAGAAATATTCTTGTACTCTAATCATTTACTAAAACACTAGTGTCAAGAGATCAACTCAGCTAAAGCAATTTCCTTACAGAGCTGAACTTTTAAGATGCAAGGGAAAGGGTATGAAGAAGCTTTGCTTTACTGTGTATCTTGATCAAGGTTTACTGCCATGGAATTTGTATTTTGGATTTGGAAAGACATCTAGGGTAATGTTAATTTTACATAGTTAATAGAACTACAGTCTGGGAACCTCTACCTCAGTGACTCACTCAAGGCCCAATTTATTGCTATTGGAGGAAAATAAATACTAGAGTAAGTTTAATTTGACCTATGTTATTTTAGCAAAAGATAAAAAGATATAGGAGATTTCAAATGAAAAGTGAGTAACTACACATAAATGAATGAGAAATAGAAGTAATCTGCTTGAGACAGTGAAAACTAGAGAGGAGATTTCTGCAGCAATAACAATAGGACTCTGATAGCCAAAGGGAAATAATAAAAATAAAAAAAAGGAGTAAAAGGTGAAATACAGTCAATATACCTGAAAATGTGACTACTGCACTTACATTTTCTATGCCTTTGAGGGTAGTTGTAATTTGGTTTTGTATGAATGGTGGTGTAGATAAATTCCAGAGAGTTGTTGTAGGTATAAGGAGATTGATAATATCAGCTGAGTTGTAGTTAAGGAAATGGCACAGAGGGACAATGTTGTTGGAGTAATCTGAAGTTTACCAGACCTATACAAAGAAAAGGCATTAACCTCACTGTTATTGAGGCCTGTGTCTCAATATCCAAAACATCCAAGTCACCAATAGTGCTCAACAGCAGGTAGTATTGATGCAGAGAAATAAAACAGATGCTATAGATTCAATATTATTGACACTATTCAGAGTAAATGAATTTGGTACCAGGAAAAATAATTTGATACAATATGATAAAGTAATGTCCAACAGATTCTTTGCTGAATGGAGCTTAACTATTTGGCAGGCAAACTCAGAAGGCCAAAAACTTATAAAAGTTCACTCCAAGCATAAAAAAAGATATATGATCCCCCACCTTTCCTCAATGTTAATTATTTATTTAGCAGGAGTCACTGACTAATATTATTTAAAGGGGAGAAGTCCAGAGAGAAACCTAGGCAAAATAAGGCTTTCCTGTATCTTTGTAAGACTACTGGTTTGCCATTACCTTAATCTCTGTCTTCAAAATTATTAGATTTCTAATGAAAAGCATTGGACTGGTTCAAACAAGATGCCAGATTCTGAACCTTGTATAAATTATGGACTTTGTTAAGCAACTGTATGAATCCCAAACACAAAAGAAAATTTAGTATAGAATTATATAATATGAACATTATTTGCACTATACAAAAATATATAGCTGGTAAACTCAACAACTCATTCTTTACAAAAAAATAAAAAGTCATTTTTCTTGTGTGGCAAATTGACAAAGTAGCTTTAGTTCTATTCATGAAAAATAGCTTAAGCCATTTGTCCACCATAATATCTATGGTACTATTATGAAAAAAAAGCTTCAAATGCCTTTTCTTCCATGTCTTAATTTTCAAGGGGATTCACAGAGACTTAATAGCATGACTCACATTAGAATATATCACATATCTAAATGAACGCATTCTACCCTGAAAATTGAGATGTTCACCAAACATAAATTCAGGCAAGTAACTTCACTTATGTTTTCATTCTCATTACATTCAGTGGAACTACTGAATTCTGCATTTTCAGGATCACGTTATTATGTGTAATACAGAAAAACAAACAGCTTGCCTTTCTAATTATAAACAGAAGAATTTCTAAATACAATTATATCAATGATTTACTACAGAATTGTGGATTCATACTTCCTGAATTGAGCACAACATGATTTTCAGTTATCAGAAAATTAGTTAAATGAAGTTACCAGTGTTAAGAATTGGCTAATTTTTCCTCCTTGAACTTTTTCTTATTTAATCAACTGGCAATTATTTGCTGTTAAACATTTATACAGAATTAAAATCAAGGACTTTCACACATGCAACAAGGTTATTGAATTGATGATTTGTTCATTTTAATCTGTACACAAAGGAAGACACTATGATGTTTTGTGGGAGTAGAAATTGTAGCAGTTCCAAATATACCTCACAGCTTCACTTCTTGGGAATTGTTGCCATACCCTGAAGAATTAGATTAAGAGAACTTCAACTGGAGATTTCCTTGGAAAGACTCACATGGTTTCCGTGGATTTTGGATAACACCCTAGGTGTTGGGAGTGGGTTAGAAGACAAAGGCTATTGCAATTATGTATGTGGAAAAGAAAACACTAGAATAAATCTTCCTAAAGTAGTTGGAATGACCCTAGGAGTAAAATTAAGTAAATATTTGAAGAATATCAATATTCCATTTAATCTGATTTTATCTGACCATGTATTTGTAGTAAGAACCACATTTGGATACAGATCTACTCCCAGTGTCACAGTAAAACTATTTTAATTTTTGTGTGTGGAGGTAAGATTTTACTGTGGAGTGTATAAGAGTCCACAGTTAAAAGGGAAAACATACGAAATAGAAGTTTTAATCTCTTAATTTGTTCAATCCCATTGCTTTAAAGGACACAATTCTCTTGCAATGTTATGCAGCCATGCACCCAGGTCATGGTGGACATAAAATATCTTTGGCCAAGATACTGTGAGAAACACTCAAACGATTACAATATTTGTACGTATGATGAAAGTATTGTATTAGTGACTTGTCACTCTATTCTGGAGAAAGGATGAGAAATTATAAATTTCAGTTTTAGTCATGTTGCATTTGTTGTGATAATGCAATTGTGGACTCAGTGGCAGAGAAACTGAAGTAACATTTGTTGTAACATGTTCTTCATGTTTATATTCAAAAGTAATACTGGCAATTCTGGACTTCTGGGTAAAACCACTAATCCAAAAATAATACTGCTTGCTTTATGTTTCTTGTGTCTGTTTTTTATTGGGTCTAAAGCTAGAGGTGAAAAACATGTTTTCTTACTTTACCCTGTATTACCTACCAGAACATAAGCTTTAGGTCAATAACTGCTTTCTGTTCCCTTAGCCAGTCTACTATTAGAAATAATAAAAAAAATACTGATTTAAATAATAATAACTTTTTTTTTTCCCCCTCTGAACAACATAAGAGTTTTCCTTATCAGAAGCAAGGAGATAGGCATGCAGCACCATCACAACTGAGCTGTAAGGCTCCATAAGGACCTTTGCCGAGCTCAGCACTGAGACGCTCTCTTGTAGTTAATAGGAATAAGTAAGAACCTTTGGGGAATGGGACGCAGACAGGCCACCTGGATATGTGAGGGGGCAACTTCAGCAGCCAGCCAACAGGAACCTCCAGGAAGAGAAGCACGTCTGAATATTTAAGGCTATGGTTTCTTTATATGGTAGGTGTTTCTTTCCCAGCCATATATTGCACTTTGCTTGGATAGTGCTAGTTCCTTAGCTGTAAACAGGCACAACTATTGCTGAAATGTGATATTGAATGGTATCAGGAGCCAATGTGACTGAAAAAAATAGATATTCATGTATTTAGTGAAGGTACCACAGGAAATATTTTACATTATTCAAAAACTGTAATCATATATTTTTTTCTAGTTTAATTCTGGCTTGTGTTCAGCAAAAACTCCAGTATTTCTGTTTCAGTACTTCCACTAACTGCATAAGTATTTTTTGTTAATCACATTGCCTCAGCCCATCTCACAGCACAGTCTATTAATAGTCATGTCTGCTTGCAGCTGTGGAGGTAACATACCATTATTGTCTCTAAAATAAAATATCAGGCCAAACTGTCTTTTGGTTTAGCTTGGCTTCAGAAGGGCTTCCTGATTCAAACTCACCACTTCCACTTCCCAAAAATGTAAAGCGTACTTTTTCTTGGTTCAAACTACTTCAGAGCCAGAAATGCAAGAATTTTAAGGACAGCATAATGAAGGAAAAGTATAATAGTTCTTAACCTTGTTGTTGTTGTTGTGTTCAGGTGAGAGGGGAAATTTTCTGATTCTTTTTTCCTTCTGAATTTTCACTCTGATAAGGTTGTCTATGTATTATGCATAAAGCTGCATAATATAAACAAGGTTTGTTTTTTTTTTTTTTTTGGTGAAATATCAGACTATGAGCCTATGGGATCTATGGTAACATACTTGCTTTTGTGTGCCTTTCCTTCTAATAGGTTTGTAGGAGGGACCCCGGAGACAACACCCGAGTAACGACATCACACCGATGCGATGAAAGTCATTCTGCTTTATTTGCCCAAATAGCGCCAAGATATACAGAGCCACATGGTCACACGCTCTATGCTTTACAGTCTATTGGCTAAAGGCACTTATCACACCCCCGGAAGTGCTGTGATAGGTCTGCATCGTTAGTACACGTGTACAAACTAAATCTACTTTGTGGTTAGTGCATCCGGGCATTCAACAGGAAGGAAGCACTAGCTTGACTTCCTCATTTTTGCCCTTCCAGGTGACCTCAAGGGCAAGATTATCAAGTGGCAGTTTTCTGCTCTGAGGCCCAGCCTGGATTGTCCAAACCCTGTAGGATCAGTGCATGACCCTGATCCCCAAGAAATCCTACCACATAGGTTTTCAAATCTCAAGAGACCAACATCAGTAATACTATTGCACAAAGCCTGGTCAACAGTCCATTGTCCAAATGTAAAATGTAAATCTGAGTTTTGCTGGTTATCACTATGGATTAGAAAATCTAGATATTTTCCTCTTGTCTCTATTTTTAGCTCTAGAGTCACAATTCATGTAAGTTATACTAAAAAATAATTCCTTAAAGTCACTCTATCTCTCTCTCAAATTTTAAAGCTCTTATCTTACCCAATTTTTCATATTATCAAATCACTATTAAGAACTTTTATACAGTGGGAACCTAAAAGAAATTTACTATAATAATTTATGAAACAGGCTATTTAAATTGCATTAAATTATAAACTTATTCAGAAGCATACCATTTATTTAATTAAAAAATAATGAAATAAACAATATTTTGATTCTAATTAACTGTTATTATAGTTTAGATTAAAAAGGTTACATAGAATATATTAGAATATTATATATTCTCTAAATTAATGCATGTATTTAATTCCCATTCAAATTCCTGTGTAACAGGGGAAAAAATAACCCTAGATAGCAGTGATAAGAAGAGATGTCAGTTTTTTATTTCTGCCATTGAAATAAATTTTTGTTACACCTTTTTACATCAAGCAGAATCAGAACCTAATCTGTCCATAAATGATAGAGTTAATGCTCTTTAATTCTTTGAGTGATATGCTTTCTCCAGCCTCAGTCACTATTTGAAGTCTGATAAGTGCACAGAAACTGTAGCTCCTTGTAGCTGTCTTAGTTAATTTTAAAAGAGAAATTGATCCTTATGTAACTGTATTTCGAGTTGTGGCATTTTAATCCCACTGAACGCTGCATGCCTTTTTCATTAGCACCTTTACTTTTCAAGACTGACATAGAAAACATCCTACTATGTAGTCATATGAGACCAAAACAAAGTACACTGGAAAGTTAGGACTCCCACAAATGTACACATTTTGACAAAGCGGCAGAAATTTCCACATCAACCTCTGTTCTTACCTCAGTGAAGAACTTCAGCTTAATAACACATCTGAGGTTAGAGAGGCCCATTTTGTATAAGCAGTTGTATTAGTGTTTCTACAGCTGTTTTTGTTTTAAGGACTTTTTGAAACGGTGCCTGTATTGGTTTTGTCTTTAGTAGAAAACATTAGCTGAATGAAGAGAAATTGTGTATCAGTGGTTACACGGTTCTTGTCCATCTTAAGAAAACTAATCAAATTCATTAAACGTTGTTTTTTTTTTTTTTTTCCTACACAGATAAAATGTAGTAATTTAAAAGAAGGAAACTCAATTGCACCTTAAAATATGAAGATACTTCTTTGCCAAAATAATTCTGACTAGAAATGGAAGAATACCATCTCTCAAACTTAGGCTGGACATCCAGTCTTCAAAATAAGCATGGAAAAATCATGAGGAAAAAGAAAATTTGGAAAATGTGAATATGGACAATGTAGGTGCAGTCTATCTAGAATGAAAATCAAATGCGAGAAAGCTAACAAGCAACAAACCTGAAATCACGCTAGTAACGAAGGAGGAATAATATAGACAAACATAATTAAGGGTAAAACAGACCTACGTAAGTGGTATAAAACAAAAAATACAAAAATGAAGAGAAAGGACCACAGAATGAAGCTGAGTGTAAAAGAAGATGAGAAAACCAAAGGTGGGGAGGTAGAAGGAAGGTCACAGAACAGGCTATGATTAAGAAAAGCATTTTCAAGTATATGAGGAACAAAGGGTCGGAAAGAGAAACAGCACACCCTATGAAAGATGGCAAAGGTAATTTATTGTCAAAAGAGGAAGATATCACTTAAAAGAAAATGGATTTGCTTCAGTGTTTAAAACAGGTGACAGAGGATAGCTCAAAGAAATACACAAAAATTTCCCAGAGGAGAAAGAAGGAGAAATACTAAGGGTAATCACTTCAGGAGAGCTGAAGTAATTAGGACATCTAGCAGTTGATAAGACTGTAAGGCAGGATGAAGTCCATTCAAGAATTTTCTAAATAATGTAGCAAAAAAAGCAGAAACATACTTTTATTTTTTTCCAAATCCCTATGAGTTCTGAAGTAGCATATGCATAACTAAGATGACAACAGCAGACAGAAATACAGTTTTCATTTCTAATTGGTATTTTCAGTAGTAACTCAGAAACTATTCATATTCAAAGTCGATTTTGTCTGCATCACTAAAGAGTTAGGAAGTGGTAAGTTAAAGTAGGAGCTAAAAATTTGCTTATATCTTCTGAGAATTTGATGTAAGATCTTAGAGAAAAGTATTTAGAAACTGTGATTACCAATTTTCAGTAAAAAAACAATGGATTACATTAAATCAGTTAAAGAGATTCCCATTCTTTATTTCTTTTTGTGCACAAGAATTTTATCATGAAAAATGAAGAGTTTACCAAATTTGAATTTTTAGAGTTAAAATTACAAATTGCCTGTTTTATGAAGATCTGAGTTAAACATCATAAATGTCTATAAACTACACTGGATACATTTTTGTCCCATTCATCAAAGGGAAGTACAATCACATGAACCAATACAAAATCCACTGAAGTGAGCAGGATTTTGTCAATTAACTTTAGTTGCCTTTCAATTAGAACACATTACATTGATATTTATTGAGATGTGTAAGACATGCTACAATGTTTTTTAAAAGTTTCACCTTCCAATGAATGACATTATGAACCATAAGAATTCACAGAAAATGTATTTTCAGACATATTTATTTGGAATTTACAGTTATGCCAGACTTCTGAGTTACTTGGTATGTGACACCCCAGTCTTCATGTTGTGATGCACCAGATTTTGACTTCTGACTGTTTAACTTGTACCCTGCAGGTTTCAGAACACAAGCCTCACCTAGGTTGCTATATAGCTAACCCTAGCCTATAACTTGATGTCAGGTGTTGATTTGGGAGAATCAAAGGGTGGAAGTGACACCCTGCCTCCTAACATCTTGCCCCTTGGCTGACATCATCAGCATAGGCAGACTGCCAACACTCTGCCCCTGACACCTGGCCCTTTGAGTGATGTCGAAGGCACAGGCATGATGCTGCCCACATTACCCATGTAAGGGAAGCTTCTGTCAAATCACACTGCCATTGGTGGAGCCAAGGGGTAACGTGTGTCTCCTACTTGCCTTCACATGCCATTTGAGTGATTGGCTGTTGCAGACAGATGACCCAGACACCGAGCATCCCTGGCAGTCCACCGGCACTACGGCATCGCTTCTGATCCTCTGTTTGCTATTGGTGATTGAGTGAGTCACCATATGGGTGCATTGTTGCTCATCTTTCTTACTACTTCATTCAAGCTTTACTTTATAACATTGTCAGACACCAGTATTGTTTAGACCACAGTCAGACTTACCTCAACCAAATTTTAAAAATACTGCAATTAAAGACAAATTGTCATTATTGAGAAAATCTTGAACTTGGACTTGTTTGACATGCATGGAAGTCAATAGCTATTAAAATAATAAATTACAGAGTTCATAAAAAGAAGTGCACTAGTTCATGTATGTTTTACAAATGTATTTTTTAATGTTTTGTAGAGGTTTAAGTATATCGAGATGTACTGTCCAGTTATTTTTATAATCTCTGTCTGTACACCCCTTACTGTTTGTTTCAAAAACAATGCCTGTCACCTATTAGCTTGCAGTAATAGAAGCATGTGATATTCTGATTTTGTAACAATATGCTTTTTTTTTTTTTTGTATAAGAACTACTAATAAAATACCTTGCTTTCTTCATAGTCATGTCTGAAGTTCTGCAGAAAAACTGCAAAACATAGAATAAATCTTCACTGGTTTTTGTATGTAGGTAGTTACACTAAGATTCTATGAGCAGGAACTATATGGAACAATAATGTCTTTAATAAGGCAAAATCACAACATGCAAGTGCTGTGGAACTAGTCTCTATTGAGAATTGTGATATGAAGGTTCAACAAAATAGAGAGTAATGGATGACACTATTATTGGAGGTGATAGGTAATTCTGGAAAAACAAGATTTGGGCAAATTCCAAGTATTCTCATTCATTCAGTCACTCCCCGATGACAGGGATATCAGGTGTCTCTTGAAATGATAGCACACACAAGAGAAAAACAGTATTTTCTATCTAGTTAAAAGTTCTTACTTTGAAGGAAGTGGGCCTTGTACTATTAAAAAAACCCACAACAAATCAAACTAAATACCCCCAAACCAAAAAATATTCCACTTAATCTGGTCTCCTGTGAAATGAGAACTTGATTAGTATGTTGGTTGCCAAGAAGGCAGTGCCTTCAGCATACATATGTATGTATGCCTGTTTCCTGAAACAACCTATAAATAAAAGTATCATGGTGTTTCTCAATGCATGAAGTCTTTAGTTGTATTTATTTTAGTTTATGTAATTCACAAACAATTTGTTGTAAAGATTAATGGGAAGTCTGTTTGCTTTTTCCATGGTACAAAAACTGGTTGCATCCTGGCTTAGACAATGTGATAAACAGATATTATGCACAAATGCCTCTCTGAAATTTAGGTAGAATTTTCTCTGAGGCAGACATCTATGTATTAAACTCATTTTTCAAACAGCACTTTACCTGAAACAAGTTACAAGCAGCCTTTAAAAAAAAAAAAAAAACTGTACACAAGAATACAGTAAAATAAGTAGCAAGAAAGTATACTTCTTTCCTCTTTTCATAGTTTGGTTGTGTGTGATTTTTTTTTTTTTTTTTAATATCCTGGCTTTTAAAGTTGCACTGTACAAATAGTGGACATGATAATGGGATCATCTGGTTTTTTTTTTGTTGTTGTTTTTTTTTTTGGTTTGGTTTGGTTTGGTTTGTTTTTTTTGTGTGTTTTTTTTTTTTTTTTTGTGATTTTCCCCCCATACTGCAACCAAAATTTACAGATTTGTAATGGGAAACAATTAGTATGAAACCACAACTATTATTCTTGATTTGTGTGCTCTTATGCTCGCATACTGAAACCTTGTATTTAGTCTGTGCTGACTTTTTAAAAAGCAACAGCAATCATATTTCTGCTTTTGTGAAGTCTTAGTTATATCAACACCTTCTATCACAGATTTCATCTCCTCTTATTATTTCCAGATCAGAATCCCTAATGCTGTTTTTCAAAAGTAATGGAAAAGATCACTACAGATCTTCTGTTTTCCTATTTATTTGAGAAGACGAGTTGTGAATGTGCAGATAGAAGTACAGTCTCTTCTAAATATAAAAATTGTGAATAATACCAAGATTTCCATACATGAATGGAACTTGCAGCATCTTGTCGGTTAGGATGAGAAAAAAAAATTTAAAATAAGTTTTTATATTAATGTTCTTTGAAAGTTTGCTTCAGCATAAAAATACATGAAGGCGATCATTGAAGTACAATACATTTGGACTGGATCATGTCACTTACTCATCTTCAGTAGTACCATTTCCTGCAAGTTGTCCTAACAATGTCAGTCATACTGTTTGTGGACAAACACGATATTAGCTGAGGCAGGAGAATCTAATTTTTTTACTAAGTATGTATCTCTCTACTGCATTAAAAATAATGTTTGGAATACCTTTTTGTTCAGAAATTGTAAATAAAAATAAGTTTAATATCTTTTTAGTTAAAAACAACATGTATTTTTTCTTTCTTTACAAGTTTGAACCTGTATATTTAGGACGTGTCCTCTGTATGCAAGTATGCTAAAAAGAAAGGATGCTTCATTGAAATTTTCACATATTTATTATATAATATGATGCTTATCATGAAGAAATCCACAATTATCATATTATCAGCAGAAACAAGGGAGTGCTAAATTTTTGGTGACCTAAGGGATGCTATATTTTATTTTTAAAATATTAATTTGAAAACTTGTGCCAATCCCTCTGGGTCAAATAGAGAAATAAATACATCATTCTACTCTCTTTAACAATGGCTTTTATTGCCTAACTTTCATAGTTCCATGTAAAATCCAAACTGTTACTTTTAACAAGTCCAAAGTTCTAATGCAGAGCAAGGCAAAGATAAAAAAACACATGTAGCATATTACAGTAAATCTACTAGTGGCTACACTCAGGGTGAGCCAAGAAAAAGTATCTCAAGATCATTTTGTTCTGATTAACAGCCTCATGGTCAGGCCCAACTGTTGTAATAGGAGAATGTTTACTTTTTTTTTTAAATTTTTTTAGAAGTTTTCAGATGGAAGATGATAGTTCCTATTTATGAGTCCTAGCTGCAGTTTTTTTTACATTTAGACAGCTTTTGGAACTGACAATAGTTTTTGCTGTTACCTGCACTCATGCAGAAGTAAAAAAGCATTACAAGATTATCTGTTTGTAACTGTGGTGATATATTTGTAAACGATACAACATTAATGAGCTTTGTAAATCAGCTTACTTTTATGAAATACAAAATCAATTATTTCTCTGTTTAATGAACCTGTCTATATTTCCCAACTGCAGAAAATTTCATAGACTGAGAAAATGTAAGCAGTGCTTTTGAAACTTTAATGATTTTTTACTTACAAGTAAATTCTGCTTATCTCTCTATTAACACCTAGCTTAGCAAAGTCTAACATGCTCCTTGCTACCTGCTCATGTATCACTTTCCAGCTGCAAATTCTGAAGTTTTTATGGCAATGTTGATATCACTAAACCCTTTCCTTCCTAGTGTTGTGTAGATTTGTCTGCTCTTCCTCTGGGAAATGGGGAATGAAACAACTGAGGGAAGAGATGGAAACTCTTAATCTCCTCTTTTGATGGTGGGAAAGGAACAAGAGAGAGCCTGCCACTGTCCTGTCCCTGCCCACGTCCCTGACTCCCTAGAGCAGGGTGAATTCCTCTTCCTCTCTGAATCTCTGCTTTCAACTTCATGCATCAAGGTTTGTTTTGCCAATTGATGGGGTTAACACAAAGAATACAGACACCAAGTTATAGAGATAGGCTTACTTTACTTTAGTTTAAAGCAGCAGAAAGCATAAACAAGGTAATGTACCAAATCATTTAAACAAGGTAATGCATCTAATAATTTCTATGTAAAGTTAATACAAAAATAAGGAGTAGATAACAAACAAAGCAGTTACAAGATAAGGCAATGCAACCAGTCATTACTATGCTGGACAAGGCATAATGAGTAGGAAAAGTACATATCAATTGCCCCTCATACTTCACCCTCATCTGGATCCGTGCTTCAGCCGGGGAGCCCTGTCACAGCTGAAGATCAGAGGGTCCTTCCTTGGCAAATGGGAATTCCTACACAGTGAGTCCACTCACAGGTAAGGTCTCCATTTTCTCTGTGAGAGGGTCCTGCTTTTATACACGTTAACAAACCTATAAATCTGTATGACTGACAAAAGGCATGGAAGACATCTGGCGGATTGGCTTGCCTCACCATCTTCCTTTGGGATTACCCCCCGGGCCTGGCCAAGGCTCAAGGAGGAACCAAGGGAGTTGGTGTACTCATCCTTGACAGTATATTTCTAAACTAAGAAAGGTCAATATCTTCCCATATCATTTATCTAAGGTACCTATTTCACTAATGAGATATTCTATCCAAGATACATATTTTGTTAGGAAAGGTCACTATATTCCCATATAGTTTTATCCAAGCTACCTATCTTGCTAATGAGATATTGTATCCAAGACACATATTTCCCTGATGATTGGACATATTTTGCTAATGATCCGATACTGAGATTATAAAATGCTTGGTTGTGAGATTCATCTAGATGATAACTTTGGCTCAGGACCTGCTGTTCTCCAGGCCTTAGTACTGTTGTTCAGACCTTAGTACTTCAAGGTTCCACCTAATTTTTTAGGTGGCAACATACATTTAGCTTCCGCTCTGCTTTGAAGGCTAAGCTGAAGCTCCAAATAGTACATTATTAAAAACCTAAATATAGACTTGAAGTTCTCTGAGCCCATTTGCACCTCCAGTGTCACCAGGGCAAGGCAACATAAATGTATTCAAGCAAGTGACAGCTGTCTATCACAAGCACCCTTTCTCTTGGCTGTTTCAGACTTCAGATGAAAATGTTTGTGATCTCACTTTTGCTATGGAAGTTCCCAACCTTAGTAAGTCCTTGGCTCCTGTTTCACAAATTGTCAAGCAGTAAGAAAACACAGGTCCCCTGTAGTGCTTTAAATAATTTACTGTTATCAAGTAGCTGAAAATTAGCCTATCTGATGGATGCAGTGTGAGTTAACATTTTAAGTGATTGCTAAAGAAGCTGGCAATATTAAATAATAGAACAGCCAGTAATTATTCAGAAGGCATATATTGTAGTAAATTTGCATGCAATTGTACCCACAAAGCAAAACTACTAACCTGGTTCACACAACTGGAAAAAAACCTAATCATCAACAGCCTGAAACAAAATTGGCCTCCCGTCTTCACCGTCAGTTCAGATCAATGAGCTACAGGAGAGATAAAAACCTCTTCCCCCAGTGCAGAACATCTTGCCATGCTCACCTTGCTCTGGGATCAGTTCTTATTTATCCTCCCCCCATTTGGTAAGCCCCCATGACAGCAGAGCAGATCTCACTATCTGCATCTGGGCTGTGTGTGGTGGCAGTGCTGGGGATGGCTGTTATTTTGGGGAGCTGGAGCCCCCTGCTTTGAGGCTCTCTGTTGGCTTTTAGCTCGCAGCTTCCTCCCCAGGATGGGCCCAGTGGGTTTGGGTATATAATCCCAGGAGGCCACGTGCAGCCAGCCCCCAACAGAGGAGCCTGGAGATGCTCTCATACCTCCCAGCTGGGATGTACCATGCTGAACTAATGCTTATGACCCAGAGACTGCCTGAGCCTTTCCTCACCTGACAGCATGTCTTGTGTATCCATGTTGCACCATACCATTTTAAGTTTTATGTTCTTGTGCACTTTAATGTCAACTTTAATTGCATGGTGTTATATCATCTTTCCTTTTTGACAGTTGCCTTCTTGCCTGTAACTTGTACATGAAAGTGAAGTCACTATCCTATTCCTAGAAGATGGGAAACACATCAAAGATGAAGGAGAGAGAGAGAGAGAGTGAGGGAGGGAGAAAGACAGGATGACTCAGAATTTAAGAAAGTTTTTGAAATATTCTGCAAATGGATTCTGTGGTAAAACCTTTTATAAATATCTGATGTGATACTGAGCAAATCGCTGACGTTTCTCCCTTTGCTTTAATGTAGTAGAGGCACATTTTTCAAGACCAAGTACACAACATTTATTTTCAGGAGTGTTTCATCTTGACAACTGTAATCTTAAATCAGTGAGAGCCAGTAGGGCTCTGAAAATGTGTGTTCATGTCCCCTTGAGGAGGGTTTTTAATGAGAATGTTCCATTCCTTAGAAGATTTCCTAACTACTAATTTATTCAACAGAAGAAAATGT